TTGGTTCTGCCACTCCCCCCCTTGGCATTATTGGGTAACATTTTGGGACTTGTGTGTATATGGTGCTGGGTATAGAACCCAGGGCCTTTACTCTTGCCAGGCAAGTGCCCCAAACTAACCCTCAAGTGTCTTGTGTGTTTGCATGTGTGTGCGTAGTTAGGACTACAGTGTGAGCCATCATGCCCAGCCCTCCAGTTTCTTCTTTTAATCCATGCCTTGTGGAGTGAGCTGCTTAGATTTATTTTTATTTATTTATTTTTGTTGGTCGTGGGGCTTGAACTCTGGGCCTGGGTGCTGTCCCTCAGCTCTTCAGCTCAAGGCGAGCCCTCTGCCACTTGAGCCACAGCATCACTTCTGGTTTTCTGGTGGTTTGCTGGAGATCAGGGTTTCACGGACTGTTCTGCCTGGGCTGGCTTTGAACCGTGATCCTCAGATCTGATCCTCCTGAGTAGCTAGGATGACAGGCGTGAGCCACCGACGCCCGGCCCAGATTCTTTTCTCCTCGTCAAACATTGTGTCAGTGAGTTAAGAATGTGTTTGTTTCCTAGATAAACACTTGCAGACACTCTCCATTTTCCCTTGAAGCTCTTGGCATTCCTGCGTGCTTAGGTGGTGTTGCACTGTTTGAAGAAGAAAGTTAAGTTCCCAGACAGGTGTGGCCTGTGTGTCTGCAGCTAGGAGGCTTGGCAAATGTAGGGGACTCACTCCCTCCGCCCCTGTCTCCCTTTTAGGGTTCCCAGAGACGGTGGAGCTGGCCCCCCTGCCCCCCTGGCATCCGGTGGGCCAGAACCTCACCCTGAGCTGCCTGGTGGCGGGCGGGGAGCCCCGGGCCCAGCTCAGCGCGGTGCTGCTCCGCGGGGAGGAGGAGCTGAGCCGGCAGCCCGTGCTGGGGGAGCCGGCCGTGGTCACAGCCACCGTGCTGGCCCGCAGGAGCGATCACGGTGCCAATTTCTCCTGTGCCACGGAACTGGATCTGCGGCCACACGGGCTGGGATTGTTCCAGAACACCTCGGCCCCCAGGCAGCTGCGAACCTTCGGTGAGGCATTGGGAAAGGGTGGACTTCCTGGATTGAGGGTAGGGAACCCTAGCTTGGGGGTATTGAGAAGTCATGCTTGGCTTGTAGAAGTTTCTGGAAGGAATATTGCCTTTGGCCAGGGGATGAGCTGCTGGTGGTTGCAGGCTCTCGTGGGAGAAGCTGACCCTCCTTAAAGGGTTTATGTAATCAGGGTGGCCCAGGTGTTAGATCTCCAGGTAGGAGAATCTTCCAGAAAGCGAGTGAGCAGGCTACAGCAAAGGCCTCTGATCGCGCCCACCGTTTCTCCGCAGTCCTGCCGATGAATCCCCCGCAACTTTCCATGCCGCCCGGGGTCCTGGAGGTGCCCGTGGCCCTGGAGGCTGGCACCCGGCAGCGCGTGGGCTGCTCGCTGGACGGACTGTTCCCGGCCTTGGAGGCCCAGATACACCTGGAGCTGGGGGGCGAGAGGCTGAACTCCACCACGGCCTACAGCAAGGACTCTGTGTCAGCCACGGCCACAGTGGAGGTGACAGCGGACCAGGAGGGACCCCAGAACCTGCTGTGTGCGGTCAGCCTGGGGAACCAGACTCGGCAGACCCAGAGGACGGTGACCGTCTACAGTAAGGAGGGGCGGGGCTTCGCAAGAGGCGTGGCCTAGGGTGGGGCGGGGCTACGCTGGAGGTTTAGTCGGGATTGAGTGATTTTTGGAGGTGTGGTCTGCAGTAGGCGGGGCTCTTCAGGAGGCCCAGTCTGACTGGATAGGCCTCCTTGGGGGGCGTGGTCTGTTGCTTTGGGGGTGGGGCCTGACGCTAGAGGGAGCCTAGATTGGCAGAGCCTGCACCACGAGTGGGCTTCCTATGGAGGCGTGGCCTGGAAGTGGTGGATTTCAGCGGGGCGTGGCCCGGCTCTAGGGCGTGGCTTTGTGGGTGTGGCTGTGGACAGGGCCAGACCTGTGGTGTGAGCCGGAAGGCTTTCAATAGGGAAGACGACCAAGGACCAGGGTTGGGGCTCACTGTGTGCCCCACCCACAGGCTTCCCCAGCCCCAACCTGACCCTGAGCCAGCCCGAGGTGTCGGAAGGGAACCTGGTGATGGTGTCCTGTGAAGCCCCAGCTGGAGCTCGAGTGACCCTGAGCAGCGCCCCAGCCGAGCCGCCGTCCTCCAAGGCCCAGTTCCACATGAACGCCAGCGCCGAGGATCATGGGCGTCGCTTCTCTTGCTCTGCTGAACTGGAGGTGTCTGGGCAGGTGTTGTACAAGAACCGGACCGTGGAGCTCCGTGTCTTGTGTGAGTGGGGCGGCTGGAGACAATGAGCCAGCCCTGTGCTGGGGGGGGGGGTCGGGGTCCTGGCCGCACCCCTCCAGCCTAAGATGGGGAGGCGGGTCCTTCATCTGCTTTCTTCATCTGCCCTTCATCTTGCTTTCTTTTTTTTCTTCTTCTTCTCCTCTAGATGGCCCCCGACTAAACGAGAGAGACTGCTTGGGCAACTGGACTTGGGAAGAGGGGTCCTCTCAGACTCTGATCTGCCAAGCTTGGGGGAACCCAGCCCCGCATCTGAGCTGTAATCGGACAAACGATGGCGCTCCACTGCCCATCGGAGACTTGAGGCCGGTCAAGCAGGGGCACGCTGGCACTTACCTGTGTCGGGCAGTGAGCTCCCGAGGGGCGGTCACCCGCGAGGTGGTCCTGAAAGTGATCAGTGGTGAGTATCTCAGTGTGCACAGTTCGCAAGGGTGGGGCTGTGAGGCCTGCTCCCCAACACTCCCCCCTCAACCCTTCTCCTGCCTCCTCTGGACAGGCATGAACTTAGTAGCCATCATCCTGGTGACCATCGGACTGACCTTGGGCGCTGTGGCCATCGGTGCTTACCTTTACAACCGGCAGCGAAAGATCCGGAAGTACAAGCTACAAAAGGCTCGTGAAGCCGCGGCCCTGAAACTGAAGGCGCAGGCCACGCCCCCCGGTGCCCCGCCCACCTCCGGGGACCCCCTGACTGGCTGCACTGCTGGTGAATTGAACTGAACGGCAGACATGCATGACACTTAGCCACAGCCACTCCTCAGGGTGACAGAGGCCAGGGGCCGTGGCCTCCTGATGCTTGCAGCATTTGGGGGGGGGGATCAAGACAGCCTCACCCCTTGGGCCCTCCCCCGCCACCCCCCAGGCCACACAAGCTGACCTGTAGTGTTGAGACTGAGCCAAAAGGAGAAGTCAGGATCGGACCTGGAAACCTGACCTGGGTGGACAGAAGGAGGCAGATGGAGATGGAGATCTTGTAAAAATGGCCACGTGGGCCCTACAGCCAGGAAGCACTGTAATCACCTTCTACTGCCTGGCCTGAGGCCCCCGTGGCCCAAAGGGACAAGTGACCCCAGATGCAATCTCAGATGTCCAGCCTTCCTTGGACCCATGCCGGCTCAGGCCCTGCTGTCAGTTGACTTGTCCCCAGCTCCCCACGATAATGTATTTATTATTTGTGATGTTTCTTCTATTTATTGAGTACCTTCCATGGAAGCTAGAAAGATGTCCACAGGTAACGCAGATCTCTGTCTTTATGGGACACCCAGCCTGTTGGAGTTGTGCCGGTGGCTCACGCCTGTCATCCTAGCTACTACCCAGGAGGCTGAGATCTGAGGATCCTGGTTCAAAGCCAGTCCAGGCAGGAAAGTACCTAAGACTCTTATCTCTAATTCACCACCAAAAAGGCAGAAGTGGAGTTGTGGCTCAAATTAGTAGAGCACTAGCCTTGAGCAAAAGAGCTCAGGGACAGCACCCAGGCCCTGAGTTCAAGCCCTATCACTGACAAAAAGAAAAAAAAGACATCATGTGGGGCTGGGATTCTCATTCCATTGACTGAGCTGCTTGGAGACGGGCTTTTTGTTTTTAATTTTCTTTCTTTCTTAAAAATTAAAACTCAGCCAGGCAGTGGTGGCTCACACCTGTAATCCTAGCAACTCAGGAGGCTGAGATCTGAGGATCCTGATTCAAAGCCAGCCCAGGCAGCAAAATCCAAGAGCCTCTTATCTCCAATAAACCACCAGAAAACCAGAAGTGGCGCTGTGACTCAGATGGTAGGGCACTAGCCTTGAGCTGAAGAGCTGAGGGACAGTGTTCAGGCCGAGTTCAAGCCCCACTACCAACAACAACAACAAAAAATAATAAAAATCAAGCAGAGCCCTGTGGCTCAGGCCCCAGTTTTGGTGTGCACGCACACATACACACACACACACCAGACACAAAAGCACTATATGGCCTCACCATGGACCATGGTTATGTGGTCCGTGGCCATTCCCAGAGCCTTTTCCTGTGCCCGTACTTCCAGCCATCTTCCTCACCCACGTCTCTGCCAGCATTCACAGTGCCTAAACACGGGTGCCCAACGCTTGGCAGCTCAAGTCTGGAGTCCCAGCCACGTGATCTGCCTGAGCTTGCCCATTTTCCTCATGCTTGGGGAGAACTCTGCGATTCCACTTCCTGCATTGATCAAACCCTCCAAGCAGTGTGTGTGGGGGGGGGAGGTTGCACAGGCCCCTTTCCCAGCTTGGAGCACCCCTCCACACCCTGCCCCAGCTCTGGAACCTTTTCCTTGGTGCCAATAAAGCTTTTTGATGGGCCTCAGCTTGAGGCAGGTGTCACATCCGTTCCAGTTCTTTCTAAGCTGCTTGGTGGAGGCCCTTGAAGGCTCACTTCCTTCTGGAAGCAAAAGCAAAAACCCCTGAGGCGGCCATCTCAGAGCTAGGACTTAAATTTAAAAAAAAATAATAATCTTTGGGGAAAACCAAAGACTCTTGACCAGGAAACTGCAATACCATTTTGGGTGGAACACAGGCTCTGGATTGGAAGGGTGTGTGTGTGGGGGGGGAGTTCCCTACCTCTTAGGGGCCTCTAGTTCCTCTCCAGGGCGGGTCTGCAAAGGTGGGGCTCCAGGCCTCTTTATCTCCAGCGCCAGCCTGGGCTCCCTCAGCTCTGGGGTAGGCTCCCGGCCATGAGGCCTACGTTTCTGTGGCTCCCTTTTCTGCTGGCGGCCGTCTACCCGGGAGAGGGGGGCAGCCATCGGGATCCGCAGCACGCTCAGGGGTATGGAGTGAGCCCCTCCGCCGCCTCGGGGCCATTCTGGGTGCGTTTAACCCCGAAGCTGGCGGAGGTGCCGCCCGGGGCCTCGGTGTGGCTGAACTGCAGCCACAGCTGCCCCCTGCCGGCGACGTCCAGCCTGCGCACCCGGCTGAGGCGGGGCCCCGCGCTCGAGGGTCCGGGCTGGGTCCGCTATCAGCTGCTGGAGGTGAGAGCCTGGAGCTCCAGCGCGGTCTGCCTCGTCACCTGCGCGGGACACACGCGCCAGGCCACGGCCAGGATCAACGCTTACAGTGAGGGTCCCAGGGTTCGAGGCCCGGGGAGGACTGAGAGGGGGGGTGAGGGAAAGGAGGTGGGAGGAGGGGGCGCCCGCGGACCTCATGGAGGACCCCTCCGCCTTCTGCCCCGCCTTAGAGCGGCCGCGCAGCGTGATCCTGGAGCCTCCGGTGCTCGAGGGCCGCCGGTACACCCTGCGCTGCCACGTGACGCACGTGTTCCCCGTGGGCTTCCTGGTGGTGAGCCTCCGGCGCGGCGGCCGGCTCATCTACTCCGAGAGCCTGGAGCGTTTCCAGGGTCCCGATCTGGCCAATGTCACCCTGACGCACGTGGTGCCCGCCAGGCCCCACGACTTCTGGCAACGCTGGACGTGCCACGCGCGCCTCAATCTCGATGGCTTGGTGATCCAGAGCAACTCCGCCCCGGTCACGCTGCTCCTCCTGGGTGAGGACCCCTCCCCGGCCCAGGGGGAGGCTGGGGGGGGGTGGCCGGGAAGGGAGGTTATCTTCCTTCCTAATCCTCAGCTCGCATCCTCAGCTCAGAGCCGCACCTCCACAGCCCTGGCCTCCACTTCTATCGTCGTCGTGGTGGGAATTTTTCTCGGTGTGGGAGTTGTTTCCTTGTGCAAGTACCTGGCCATGCAGCCGCGGGCAGAGACGGAGGGGTGTTCTAGGCCAGCTGAGCAGGAAGAACGTTGCTCTGCCATCAGTAAAACCTTGATGGGCCAGTGGTTTGGTCTCCTTTGTTTATTGTGCTGGGTTTGAATGCAGGGCTTGGGTTCAGGCCCTGCGCTTTTTTCCACTCAAGGCTGATGCTCTACCACGTGAGCCACAGCTCCACTTCCAGCTTCTTGGTGAGTAAACTGGGAGGTCAGGCATCTGGGACTTTGTCTCTCCACCTGGTCTCCAGCCAGGATCCTCAGATCTCAGTCTCCTGAGGGACCTAGAATGACAGACGGGAGCCACCGAAGCAGCCCCACACTTTGTCTTCTTTATTTTGGGCCCTGCTTTTTTTCCCCCCCGAATTCCTTGTTTCCCTCAAGATATCTAAGATTTCTGCATCAAGATCCACATGGGCTGGGCGCTGGTGGCCTATAATCCTAGTTACTCAGGAGGCTGAGAGCTGAGGATCGTGGTTCGAAGCCAGCCCGGGTAGCAAAGCTCGTGAGATTCTATCTCCAATTAGTGGCTCAAGTGGTAGAGTGCGAGGCTTGAGGGAAAAAAAAAGGGGGGGGGTTCAGGGACAACACCCAGCCCCAGAGCTGAAGCCCCAGGACTGGCAAAAGAAACAAAGAAGCACGCGTGGGTCTCAGAGCCCCCTCTCCCCCGGCCTTTCTGCGTTTGCAGACCACGTAGTAAAAGTTCCTGCGGGCCTCATCCCAGGGTGGAGCGGACGAGCCGAGCAATAGGTGTAGGGAAGGCGGGGCCACGGCACGTCTCTTCCTGATTGGCCCTGCCGCTACTCTCAGCAGCTCTGATTGGATGCTAAGTTTCCTCTGCCCGCCCCGCCCACCCCTTCCACTTTACTCCCAGCACGGGGGGGGGGGGGAGACGAGGTCACTCCTGGGTGGGTCGGGGTTCGCATGAAATAACGAGAGAGACAGAGGGCGAGAAAACCCAGAGGGAGGAGAGACTCGGAGAGTTGGTGCACGTGGGACGGCGATGTTTGGGGAGCGCCCGGGAGCCGGGACGGGCGTCCGGGGTGGGTGGGGAGCGAGGCGGGGCCGGACGCCGGAGCCAGCCGGACCCGCGCCGAGGACCGGGCGGAGCGGGCGGGTGGGGGCTGCATGTGGAGGGGGTGGTGGGGGTCCAGATCTCCCCTCAGCCCCCCCCACCCCGGGAGGCGCCTTCCGGGGCTCACCCCCGCCGAGGGGGCCGCGCTCGGGCCCGCTGCACGCTGGGTAAACGCAGACCCCGGAGCCCAGCCGACTGGCACTGTAGACGCCCGCGAACCGACGCGGCGCGCACGCACACGCGTGTCCCCGTGTCCCCGACTCGCTGCCGTTTGGTCCCCGCCGCCCCCCGCCGCGATCGCGTGCCGGAGCGGGAGGGAATCCTCATCCTCCGGTGTGTGTGTGGGGGGGGGATCGGGGGTCAAAGAAGGATCCGTGAAAAGGAGGCACCGCCCCCATCCTCCGCTAGAACCGCCCTTCCCCCCGCGCTGCTCACGCTAGCCCCCCATCAATCCCCGTAAGGGGCGCGGTGGGCGGAGCTAAGGCCGGAGGGGCGGAGCTTCGGGTCCGGCGCGTGAACCAAGCCTCGGAACCCGGGGGTCGGTGGACGGGGGTGGGGGGGGGTTGGGTAGGGCCACCCCGCATCTCCCTCCCTCCACGCCTCCCCCCCTCCCCCAGGGATGACTGCAGACGATCGGGGCCGACCTCCAACGTAGACCCCGGGGGCTCGCGCGCTCCCGCCGGCTGGATCTCACCGAGGCCTTGGAGCCCCGCACACGCTCGCCTCCCGCCCGCCCCCCATCCCTCCCTCCCCGCCGCCTCTGCCGCCGCCCCCTCCTTGGAAACCAAGTTACCAACGTTTAAACCAATCCCCGAGCGCAACTCGGCCTCCCCCACACTCCACCCGCCGCGCCGCGCCGCGCCGTCCGCCAGCCCGGCTCGTCGCTCGCGCTCCCTCGCCTCTGCGCTCCCCCCACGGCGGCGGCGATGCCAGGGCCTTCGCCAGGGCTGCGCCCAGCGCTACTCGGCCTCTGGGTTGCCTTGGGCCTGGGGATCCTCGGCCGCTCAGGTAAGGAGAGCCCGCCGCCGCCGGGGGCCCCGGGTGGACCGGGCGGGGGCGGAGTTGCCGGACCCGAGGGGCGGCCCCAGGCCCCTCCAGGCTCCGCCCTCTCCGCGCTCCCACGCTTCGGCCCCCCCCACCTTGAGCCAGGTCTTTACCCCTGTCCCCCCCCACACACACACATACACAACACACCCCGAGAGCCAGCCTTCGGACTCCCTGCTCGCCCCAGATCGCTCCCCTCTAACCCGCTTCGACATGCAGGGCGCTCTCCAGCACCCGGTCCCGCGCCCCGAGGGCCGCGAGGCTCCCCTGTCCCCGCCCCTCCGGGTCGGGGCTGCACCTCGGGGCGCGGACTGGCATTTTCCTTACTCGCGATCGGCAGAGACCCCATCTCAACTCTCAGGGTTCAGAACAGAAGCGGTGTTTGAAACGCTCCGCCTTGGAGCCTTGGCGGCTGGGTCCCGGGGCTCCGAGGCTGCTTTCCACGCTCTCTACCTAGGCTGGGGGGGGGTCCTCCTTAGTCCTTGACCCAACCCCATCTCCTTTGCTTTACACCCCGATCTCTCTCTCCCCCCCTTCTTCTGGCGATGTGCCAGG